ATAAAAAAATTTTAATCTTTGTACTTAAGAAAGTTTTTCTTAGTTTCTAAAGTTTATTGTCTAATTTCTTGTTAGTCCTCCACTATCTTTTTATATATAGGATACATTAGATAATGAAAATTCTATAATAAAGGAATTAAAGATGACTTTTTTTAAAGTAGAGAAACAAAAAAAGAAAAAGAAAAAAAGAACAACCTTTTTTTAAACTTTTTTTAGTTCCTCCACTTTAAAATTTTGGTTATCCAATATGCTAAGTGTTTAAAAAATAACGAGAAACCTAAAAAGAGATCAAATAATAAACTTTGAGAACTAAAAATCCTTTTTTAAGTAGAGCAATTAAAATTTTAAAATAAATTTTTTTTTTAAAGTAAAGTGACCAAAATTGATTTTTAGCGTTTTTCGTTTTTGTCCACTTCCCCATTGTACTGCACTACAAGAACTCTACCAAGAGAAGAAAAAGACAGACAACGAAATTACGTAAAAACGGAAGAAACAAACAGTCCTTAAGAAAAGAAACTGTACAAAAGGAATGACAACCAACAAAGAAAGAGAAAATAGAGGAAAGAAACAAAAGAACCAGAAGAAAAGAAACAGAAGAAAGAAGAGACAAGCAAAAAGAAAGTGGCGGAAGGAGTGGAAGAAGAAACATAGGAAACTGGGAAAGAGCAAGATTTGCCGCGGAAAAAGAAGAAAACACCAGAATACCTGAATATCCGTGACGATATGCCCCAGAAAGACCGCCACAAGGAAAACTATAACCGAAATCCTTTTTATCTGGCATTAACTTCGAACACACGCGCATAAATCCCCTCTCTTTAAGATCAATGTTGTTGTATGTAAACTTAGCGCAATAGCATGAAAAACTAAGTAGTCTCCAAGATAGTGAATTACTATTTTCATTAATATCAGCAAAAGAATGTTCTATTGTACTTCAAGACATGAACTCCACGTATTCTTATAAAAGGGTCGATTCCGTAAAAGATGAGATAGGTAAAGGAAATTTAGCTAGAATGCTTCATAGCACCGAGAATGACTTTAACTCATACCACTATTGTGTTCATTATATGCTGCTGTTATTTTTTAGAAAAAAAATCTCATGTAGCACTAGACTAGAGTATTCTCGAGCTTCTAGCAACTTGCCTCAAGTGCTGCTTGACGGCCATATTCCCTTTGCTTTCCCGATCTTTCTTCCCTTCACTTCCCCTTCAATTCAAAAAAATAAAATAAAATAATAATAATAATAATAAGTTCTAGTCTATGAGATAGGAATCCTTTTCATTATAGTTTTGATTTTAGCATAGTTCAAAAGCATAATTGCTATTATCTTTAGTTACATGCCATAATCATCACCACCACCAAACTTACAGGCATGAAGCAATATTAGAATGGAAAAGAATTTCACACATACAAGATACCACTCCTAGGTCCTAGCAAGAAAAAGGTTCTTTTTTTTTTTTTTAACAACAGAAATATTGGAGCTCGGTACCTAAAACCTTAAACTTAAGCTTTTCATTCATCACTTGCTGGTGCCCTCATTTAGCAGATTGTCCCTCACAACCATTTCACTGCAAAGAAACGAAAAGGAGAAAATCAGAAGATCAAATTAGAGCAATACTTCAACAGGAACCAATCTAATTTTTTTTTCTAGCTTAATGAAGACATCAGAAGGTCAAATTAAAGCAAAACTCAACAGGAACCAATCTAATTTTTTTTTCTAGCTTAATGAAGACATACCGGAGTAACCTAGTGAGTTCCGTTGCCTTTGCAAAGTCACCTTCTTCGCGTGCCTTAAATATCCTAAACATAATGGCCAGACGGATTTTGTTTCTAGCGCTCTGCTGGATGACGAGTCTAGTTTCTCTCTTAAGCTTCTGGCATTCGGCTTCAATGGCTTCAAATTTTTCTCTTACTTGTCTTTGTCCTTCCCTTATACTTCTTTGTTCGGCACCAATTTCTTGCATCTCCTCTCTCAGCCTCTGGAGTTTTGACTCCATTTCTTTGGCTTTCCTCCTCTGCACTCCATTAATGATTAGTTCAATGTAACGTTAGACGAAATGAAAAAACAAGAAAATAATGTATATTAGATTGCAGAAAAATAAGATGTTTTAGTAATTAAAATATAAAAAACTTCTAGATGACAAAATATGAACTCTTAGACGAGAAGCATGCCATAATGTTAAAGATCAATCTCTTATTTAAGGTCTTTATTTTGAAGATAAATCTAATTTTATCTTATTATATTATAAAAATTATTAAAATTATCAATAAAATTTAAATAAATATTCAATAAACCTTTAAAAATTTTAGATAAATTTTGAATAGATGCCCAATGGGCTTTCCATAAGAGTTTAGAAAAATACTTTAAGCTAAGTAATCTAATCTTACTACATTATAAAAATTATTAAAATTATCAATAAATTTCAAATAAATAAT